GGCTCAGAGGGAAGTGACTGAGGGGGTGTTGGGGGGATGACTGGAGGGAACAGGGGGGCTGGGTGGTAATGACCAAGAGTGGTGACAGTGACCTGGGGGGTGGTGGCTGGGTGTGTGTGTGACCAAGGTGACAGTTTGTGGGAGGGAGTGATTTGGGGTCAGCGACCGGGGTGGGACTGGGAGGTGTGGGATGGTGGGTTACCTGGACGGCCTTGGGGAGACTCAGCTGGGGGGAGGATGTGAATTGGGGGTGTAGGAAATGGAGGGAGCTGGGATCAGGCGGGGGGCTTAGGGAAGGCTTGAGGGGGCAGCAACTGGGTCTAAACTGGGAGGAAATTGGAGGGGAGCCTGGGAAGAGCTGGGTGGTCTGGGTCTGGACACTGTCAGAGCTGGGCCTGAGTATTGGGATGGTCAAATGGTGGGCCAAACCGGTTTTAGGAACATTCCTGCCACTTTTGCAGCCCCACAAGGTCCCAGTGCTGGAGTTCAGGGGTCAGGCAGGCCCTGATGGCACAGATGGGTCCCTGGGGTGACATAGACTGGTCCTTTCTCTCAGGGCATCTTGGCCAGCCCCAGTGGTTCACTCTCCTTCCTCGAGGCTTGACTGTGTGAGCATTAGGCAAGTCTGGCTTTGGAGGCTCTTCCCAAAGAAAAGCAGAATCCAGATAGGGCTGTGCTTTTTCTACCAGCCATGCCATGCAGTGGATTCTTGTCCCCTCCAGCAATTTGGTGGGTGAGGAGCTGTTCCAGGCACCTGCTGGGTGACACACTTTTAAGTGAGGGGTCGTCCCCATCCATCTGCTGGAGAAGGCCTTCAGGCAGCTGAGCCCTGCGCTGCTTCTGCAATGTCTTTCTCTTCCGTTTGCAGGTGGGAGTGGAGCAGATCAGATCCCTGGGAAATTCTGTCCCGCGGGTGCAGGAGAGGGCAGAGCACAGCCCTGCGCCGGCTGTTTTTGCAGCTTGTCCATCTGTTTGCGCAGATAACTGCTGAGGAGTCAGAGGATGAGCTACCGTCCAGAGAGGAGCGAGGGGATGCCCGGCTCAGAGAGCAGGATGCAGCAGAAGGGAACAACAAAGGGGCTGTAACTGAAGAGGCTGAAGGCAATGGGCAGAGAAATGGGGAGGAGGCAGAGCAGCCGGACCAAACGGTAACTAAAACACAGGTATCTAGTGATGGTGGCGGTTGCTGTGCGAGATGCAGAGAGATTTCTTATGTGTGTGCTGAGCAGCTTTGTGGGTAGCAGACAAGTGTGTTTCTTTTCCCTTGCATCTGGGTTTTGTCAGAGGCTGATGATATGAGCCTCAGGGGAGGGATGCGCGCAGGGAGCTTAAACCCAGGTGCTCGGGGCTCCAGATCTGGAGGAGAATGAGCAGTTTGATGCTGAGGGTTGGGTTTGTGCCTGGGATCGGGGAGGCTTTATGTCCACAGAGGGGAGGTTCCTGAGGAGGACCTTGTGCTGTGTCCTCATCAGCACCGGGTTCAGGCAACGTGCGTGGGGAGGAAAGCAGCCTGCGATTCTGAAATGAAGATTGCTTCTCTGCTCCCTTTGCTGTACAGTTAATTGAGCTCTGCAGTGCATGTGGGGCTGGGGTGTTCTGTATATGCTCAGTTGTCATGGTTTAACCCCAGCTGGCAACTAGGACCATGAAGCTGTTCACACACTCCTGCCCTCCCTCCTCCCCCAGTGGGATAGGGAGAAGAGGGAGATTGAGATAAAGACTGTTTAATAGAAGAGTAACGGAAGAAAAAAAAATAATGGTAAAAGAATATACAAAATTAGTGATGCGATGCAATTCAGTTGCTCGCCACTTGGTGACCAATTGTCCAGCCTGTCCCAAGCAGCGATTGTGCATTCCTGCGCCACCCAGTGATCGATTGCCCAGCTCATCCTAAGCAGCAACTGTGGATTCCTGCCCCCCGGCCAACCTCCATTTATATACAGAGTATGTTGTCCATGGTATGTAATATTCCTTTGGCTAGTTTGTCCTGTTTACGCTCCCTCTCAGCTTCTATGGGAAGCTGAAAAAGTCCTTGACTTAACATAAGCATTACTTAAGCAACAACTAAAACAATATGTGTTATCAACATTCTCATACTAAATCCAAAACACAGCAGCTGCTAGGAAGAAAATTAACTCTATTGCAGTTGAAACCGAGACATCAATGACATGTTTGTTTTGGAGTCCATAATGTGAAGATTCCAAGCAATGTAAACTAAACATTGAACTTACTCTTCTCTGGAGCATTTTGTTGTTGTTTTGTGTTAAGATTCCCTCCCGTGGTCTTTATCAACTCAGAAGTGTCTCCTTGCGGAAAGGGGCACTTTAATTAACAATTTGACATTGCAAGTCTAGCCCCTGTCTTGCTGGAGATAGGGATGGGGGGACTGAAGGGGGGACTGGCCCCCTGGCCTCACTCATTAGGTCTCAGCATTTGGGGTGTGCCTGCAGTTTTTGGGTGCCAGGTGGTGTGGCTAGAGGAGCAAAGACCACCGTCTGTGTACGGTCCGGCTGTACTGGTAGCCTCAGCCAGTCCAGGGGCTTGGGAATGCTCTGGATGTGCGGTGTGAGCTCTGCTCGGTCGGTTCCCGCATGAGCTGTGGCTCCAGCAGGCCCTGACCCAGTGAATTTCCTGCGTAAGTACTGCAGTGTGCACCTGCTGCTTCTCTCAGAGCTTCCTGGAGAGAAACGTGGGAGCCCTCAGCAGTCGTCTCCCTGCCATTTGATAGAGCCAAATTTGGACTGCATGTTCCCCTGTTCTGAAATCAGCTCAGGAGCCGTGGGGTTGTTCTGTAACACTGTTACTTGCTGTATTACCTGTGTAAATTCTGGAAATGCGCTTTTTAGCTCTGTATGCCTTGGGAAAGAGCCAGCGTGGACAGCAGTGTGCTTCTCAGGTTAGGGAATGCTACATGGCATTGTGAGCTAAAGTAGCTGTGTCAGCTGTGAGAGGAGCCTGTATCACATGGTGCTTTTGGGCAGGTGTTGGTTTCTGTGGAATCTGGAGTGACTGATGAAACTGTTACACTCACTAGAAAGACAAAAATAAATTTGTTCTAGAGAGTAAAGGAGGGCTGAAATGTTTCTTCCATACCTGGTGTATCTAAAGAGTTTCTTGCCTGATTTTGCAGTCTCAGATGTATGAAAGTTGGCTGAGATTTAACCCTTGCATTTGTAAACCTGTGGTGCTTTCCTCCATTTTCTCATTATGTCTTAATTTCTTCTCGGTGAAAAATTTGAAAGGATGAATATTGGTTTAATTTAAGGGCCCTCCTGGCATGCTGATCCGTGTGGGAAATGCTTCTCCCTGGTGGAGCTTTCCTCCTTGCAATCCATGGGCATGCTCTGACAGCTGTTCCATTTCTCTTTGCAGCCTATGTTGAGTAACAAGCCACGAAAGAAAAAAAAGAAAAGGAAAACCAAGAAACCTTCAGCAGGGGAGACTCTGGTATGTCTACGTTTGCTCTCAGAGTCAGTGGCCGTGCTAATTTCTGCATTGGGGTTGACAAAGTGGCTACTGTCAGGCAGCTGCAGAAAAGATTTTGAGGCAAAAATGCTTGGTTTTGCATTTTACTCATTTAAAATTACAAAATGGCAACAGCAGCTTTTGACTGTGGTCCTTCAAGTAGCTGCAACTGGTGCAGCTCTGCTGCAGATGCTTAGAGCTGAAATCCTCACAGTGTCATCTTCTTTCATCTCTGCTTTGAGGCTTTGCACGGGAGGGGGTACAGCGCGAGGAATTTTGCATTTTCATTATATTTTCCTTGCCCTACTTAGGTAGCTGTCCCTGCTCTGCAGAGCCATACAAAGCTCTTGCTGCCAGTCGTCGTTTACGTTCCCTTCTCCTCCATGCACAGCCACGCACCTTCTCTGTAGTTTGGCATCTGATAGCTGAATGCTGACAGGAGCGTCCGCTCGCATGTTATCAGCAAATACACTGCCAAATGCTCTTCCTGTGGGACCTGCTCCGTCCCCTCAGTGGTGAAGGGAGCAAGGGGACAGTGATTCTCCCCAAGGTGTCTACCCCTAGTGAAGTGTGCTGAGACTGAGAACTTCATTCAGTGTCTTTGTTACGGATAAAACTCAGGGACAAATGTGTATGCTTGAATATACTTTATCTACTTGAGCTAAGCTAGGAAACTAAACAGATCACCGTCATTGTTCGTTTAAATTCAATAGAAATAAAGTTCAAGTGGGAGCTATTTTTTTGCCAAGGTTTAAGAACCTTAACTATTTACTCGAGGGAGGTCCTGTGCTAAACATCCTGAGCCACAGTATGCTGAAGTGCTGCATGGGTGAGCTGTGACTCTGGTGTAGTGCCTGACTGGCCACCTCCTCACCAGGAATTCAGCTGGGCGAGCTCAGAGCAAGTAACTAAGGCAGAGAACCCAATCAAAGAGCCTGTTTCCTCTCCTAGTCCGAGAATAACAAGCAATAGGGTGACATCTGCCAGCTGTGGACTCTAGTGAACTTAAGGCCCAGGACCAGGCAGTTTGATTTGCTGACTAGAGATAATACGATCTTTGTTCAAGCACTTGAATGCAGAGCACATTATAAACTTTTCATGTATCCACTCCGCGTGGAGTGGCTATATTTAGCTGGAAAAGGCAAACTTGCAGTGCTATTTGGGTGTTGTGAATGGAATTCCGTGTTCCATCCACGTACATCATGAGGAGGATGTGAAACCACCACATAAGAAATACGTCACTTGCTATTTGTGGGGAAAAATAGAGGAAAATCAGGATAAAAGTGTTACACAACTGTTGAATGTGTACTGCTGGATATATTCGTTGGGTTGTTAAAAGATGGGGAAAGTGAGAGTGCAGTACATTAGAGCTGGGTTAAAGCTGCACGAGCGTTTGATATCTTCTTACAAGGATCCCAGCAGTAACCTAGTGTTTCCATGGAAAGTAGATGGTAAAGGCTGATTATTTAAATATTTATGGCTAAAATCAGCACCCCAACTTTTCATGATATTGTAGGGATTGTAGTATAAATAAATCGGTCAAAAACACAGCGAAGGCCGGCTAAGAAGGGGCAGACCAGAGGCCAGACAGTCTGCCAGCTCTTGCCCTTGCTAGATATATTCAGCTGGCACGTTCGAACTCGGTGGTGTGAAGAGCAGCAGCCCCTATGATAGCTTGGGGAAGAGAAGCCAGCCCTTATGGGGGCAGTTGAACAGGGAAGGCAGGCTCTGCGTGGGATTCCTGAGGGAATAAAGGGTGCTAGGTGCAGAGCAGGAGGCCTCGATAAGAGAGGGTATGTGCGCACCCAAGGTGAGCGATGGGGTAGCAGCAGGGTGAGGGGTTCAGGCTGCACCAGTGTCGCACGGAGATCGGGATGAGTTGAAGGACCCAGAGGCAGCTGGGTGTGATCTGTGCTGGGTGACCTGCATGCCGTGGTGACTCATTCTGTAATAACTGCCTTGTCTTTGCATGTGCCTATCTTAAGGAAGACAATGACCTGGAAGACATCGACAGCCTGTTGGAGAAGATTGAAGATACCAATGGGCTATCACAGCAGACCCAGAGCGGATTAATCGTTGACAGCAGGCCTCTGCTCTACATAGAGCACAGGTAGTACTTGCTTCCTTCCTCGTTTTGGCCTTGCCTGTGACAGGGTTATCTGTTCCCCTAAGGAAGGGAGTTGGGAGCCTCCCGGTGTAATCAGGACTTTGCTTGAAAGCGCTTGTGGTAATGGTTGTGCACATCGCCGTTTCTAACCATTGCTTTTAGAGCTGTGTTCAGTTTTGAGCAGTGACTGGTATTTCTCTGCTGTCAAGCCTGGTTTGAGTGGGCAACTGAACCGTATTAGCTTCCAGAGGTGCTTTCCAGCCTAAATCACTCTATGACTCTGTGGGAGAATCTCTGCAGAGCTGCTGAGAGCCCTGGTGCATAAAGCTTTGCAACCAAACTCACCTGGCCAGGTGACTGGCTGCATTCAGACTGGGTGCTGCGAGCAGCAGGCCCCAGTGCAGCATATGCTGTCCTCTGAGGAGGGCTGAGCAGTGCCAGGAGCTATTTTCACCAGGAAAGCTGGTTAGACTTGTCTAACCTTTCCCACATGTCTCCATCAACAAAGTGGACTAAGCACCAAGCGTGTCCAAGAGCTGAAGAATGAGTCGGCCTCAAATTAGAGACCCATAACATCTGAGCCTGTGTCGCACTGGGAAACCTGTTGGGAATGGGCTGGCTGGTGTGTCCAGTGTGTTTCGGAGCCCGGGGCTGGTACAGACACTGGCAGCGGTTCATTGTGTTGTTGGAGAAAACCTTTAAACTTGTAGCTGGGACAACTTACGTGTCCCAGTTTTGAAACCTTCAGGCATACTGCATCAAAACTGAGTGTAGGCTCATGGGCACACAGTGCCAGCGCAGCCTGTTCAGGGCTGTTTCGGTAAAGGCAGAATGTTTGTTTACCTAGAGGTGGTTTTAAACTTCAGTGACTTTTCTGGTCAAGTACATGTTATTCAGAAACCTTTGAGAGCTGGATAATCTCTGAGTGGGTGAGGGTTGTCAGTGCTGGATCTCAGCCTTCCACTCTCCTTCTTCAAGCCCTGCCGCTGGACGGCGGAGAAACCCCTCTCAAACACGCCTTCCTTCTCTGGGCCAAATGTTTGGTCAAGAAAATTGTAGGTGTTGTCATGCTTTGATACAAGATCTTTGTATTAAAAGTATGTATTTTAATCCTTGCCAGCCTCCATGCAGTGGTTAGGGTGCTTGCCCCAAACTGCAGGCTGCCATTGCATGGTGGGTATCTCACACATCCCCTGAGCGTGCACTCCTGCTGTCCTGGGAGTATCCCAGACGAAGGCCCCAGCTGCCCTGGAGAGGGCAGCAGACGCATTCCCCAGCTCAGTGCTGTTTAGGAGCAGAACATGAAGGAAGCGAGCATCTGACTGAACAAGCTTTTTTGTGCCTCCTCTTCTGACCGTTTTTAGGCTCCTTTCGGTTTATTGTGTCAGATCGGTGGGGTGTGGGACAGTTCGGGGGATTGGTTGGAGACGGTTCAAGGTACAGAACACTTGGCACTGATGGAGAAGACTTGAGCGTGAGACATTTGGCTACGGTTAACTGACAGTAGGTTTTCTTTCTTGTTCCAACTTTCTCAGAAACTTGAATCCAGAGAACGAGTTGAAGAGATACTTTGGGGCTCGTGCTGTTCTTGGTGATCAGAGGTTAGTCCAGAATTTAGTATTAAATTCTTTCAAAGTCCAAATGGGTGTGTCTGTTGTTTCCTTGGTACGGCTTACCAAGCCCCCAGTGCTACACCTAGGCAGGGAATCCAGGGTTCAGGGTGTCTTACTCGTTTAGTAGTTGCTTTTTGGGACAGGGGAATATTTTTATTTTTTTTTTAATGTGTGTGAGGGGGGCGGATAAGACTTCTCCAGGCTTTTGCTAGCATTTGCTTTTTCTTCTGCTGATTTCCCCTCTCATTTACTGTCAAACACCCTTCTAAAGTCCTTTCACTCAAATTCCTAGAGTATAGACTCTTAGATATTTTTTTTTTTCTTTCTCCAGCGTTTGTTGCTTTTTGCTATTCCAAAGTCTCTGATGGACTCTGAATACTTTTCAGAGGGTCTCATGCACTTGCTTTCAGGGGCCCAGGGAACCTACGGCTTCTTGGGTGTGGGGTCTCTGTGCAGTTATCCGTTGCACTGTGGCCAGTGTTATCCAGAAATCCCTGCTTTCGTGAACTGGTTGAAAAAAGTGCACATAAGAAGGGTATAAGCTCAGAGCAGTGATGGTGGAGGCAGAACCCTTCTCTAAGAGAGTCTGTGGAAGAATATTTAGTGCTTGAAGAAGAAGCAGCAGTCCCTTACTGAGGAGACATGACTTTCTTAGAATAGCCTTGATTTCTGAATTCTTCCTGCCCTGAACCAATAAATTGGTTGCATTTGTGAGTACAGCTTAAACTAAATCAGTTGACATTTGAAGGCACTGCTGGGAAGAGAGATGAGTCAGAGGGATATGGGGCTTTCTTAATTGGACCTGGGAAGCTGTTGGAAGCAAAGAGGCAGCTGAGAACTTGGCAGGAATAAAAACAGGGGAGAGAAGCTATTGAAGTGGAAATGCTGGAGGCACTGGCTGGCCCAGCAAGGAATGGTTCAAGCAAGGCAGAGCCTGAGCGAAGGTATGTTGTGTCTTGAAGGCAGAACATGTTAAAGCTCTGGGCAAAAGCTCCATGTGGCAGGGCTGTAGCTGGGGAAGAAGTTGGATCTCTTTTTCCCCGAATCATCGTTTTTCTGGCTGCTTTCAGCCCTCCTCATTCTGTTAGTACAGAGAAACTCTGACCTGTCGTGTTTATTTCCTCAGGCAAAGGCAGCGCCAGTGTGTCCGCGGCACGTGGCTGACGACTCCCCAGAGCACCTGGCCGCGCTACACCAGAACAGGTGAGGCTTTCGGTGCCACCTTCCGAAGCACTGCACTGCTGCTAGCTGCCAGGGCGCGTTGATCCTGTGCCCATTTTGGCATGGATGGCTGCTCCTGCCAGCCTGGCTTTCCTAGAGCATCCGCACATGGAAACCGGAGCTGCTTTCATCAGCTGCCAGGCCCAGGCTTCATGCTGGCTGATACAGAAAGGGAACTGTTCATCAGCTGATGGAATTACTTCCTTTCTCAACAGGGAGAACTCTGTTGTATTGTATCTTAGTATTTGGGCTTTTTTTTTTTCCCTCCCTTATTGGAGGTGGCAGGTGATGAGTACTTCCCGTCTTAACAGCAGTCTTGCTGGATAATGAGAAATAGCCGTGGGGAGAGCAAGCTGCCTGGGCTTCTCGGGTGGGTTTCAGAGTGACTTATTGGAGGAGGGAAAGGAGTGAAATTCTCTGGGAGTTTCTGATAACGCATCTGGCTTTGGACCCAATGATATGAATGAGCTTTCTGTGTGATAAGAAAGCAGAAGAGCATCTCTTGCTGCTGTGCGGGCAGGCTGGCAGCAGTGGTACCCATGTCTCCCGTGCACCCTCTAGGTATTGTCATGCAGCTGGTGGACACCAAGGGGGGAGTGCAGTACTTCACGTTTGAGCACCATCGCAAGTACCAGGAAGTGCAGTTGAAGTTCCTGGAAAATGTAGAGACCATGGACCCCAACAGTGTTGTGGTATGTTGTGAAATTGGGTTGCCCGTGCTGTTACCTCCTGCGTTCCTGCAGCCCCTTTCTCTGACAGGGGAGGTGGGCTGATGCATCCCAGTGCCTATTTTTTTGCCAGTCTCGTTTTGAGCAGTGGAGCCCTCTGCCCCCTCTGTGTGGGGTGAGGCAGCGTTGCTTGCTGAGCTCTGCTTCCACCTTATGAATATGATAAGTGACTAGTTTGGTGCAAATGAGGTCCAGTGGCTGGTGGCGGAGGCTCAGTGGCTCCGCCCGAGAGCATGCCAGGTAGCCATCTGAAAGAGGAGCCTGCGGGAACTGACGATTTGGCTGAAAGGGTAGGAATAAAGCTCCCTTGTCTCAGCTTTTCAGCTGGGAAAGGAAAAATATTGTATAAACCTATCTTTAAATGGGAATCTAAACTAACAGCTGTTCTATTTATAAAACTCTTGCATGGATGAAAAATGTGTCTTTCCTTGGTATTTCAGCAAAACCGTCTTTGTGTTGAAAGTTCTTCATGCGTGTCCAAGCTCATTAAACTGTATGGTAACATTTATAGATTGTAGTGATAAGCAACAGTAAAATCGCTCTGCACCATGCTGAACCATAATTGAGGTCTTCTTGCTCTGAAAACCCTGGCCACATGAGCTCGGGTATATGCCCTGGAGAAGTTTCTTAAAGAGGACATTGTGTACTAAATAAAGTTTACTTCCTTCTGCGTTCCCACACTCTGCTCATGGCCACTGCTCCCTCCAGCTCATCAGTTCTGCCTGCTGACTGGACCGAGGGATTCGCATTCGATGATGCGAAGTAACTCCTATGCAGCAGTGATCAACCTGAAAGCCAGTGTCCTATGGACAGCTCAAACACTGTCTCACGGCTGTGCGGAGCAGGACAGGTTTTCTGTTTTTAGTCTTTAAGTTCTTTCCCTGTTAAGTGGGTCTGACTACATTTGAAAATATTCCTACAGCTTTAGTCTTTCCATTTTCCATTAAGGGTAAAATCTAACAGACAGGGGTTTGCTGATGCCAGAATTACTTCAAACCTCCAACCAGTTTATCTGTGACAGCCGCAGTTTCACGTGGCTGGAGCCCAGATCTGCCTCACTGCCATGGTTTCAGCATGTAAAACATGATTTTTGGGGTGCCCTGCTCAGTTAGTCGTTTTCTGCTCTTGCCAGTAGGCTAAAGGGTTTTTGCTGGTGAAGTCGTAAGTGTGTGAAGAGCACTTTTTCCCATCACAATGACCATAGGTGTTCCATCTCTCCCGAAAAAGAATGACTAGAAAGGAACTTGAGAGCAAGCAAGGAGCGGGTGAAACATCAGGCAAGTGGCACTGAGTCAAAGGTGCTGGGCTGGGACAGCCTAGAACATAACGGCTTTTTACTGTAGGTGGGCACACTGGCCACCACCCTGCAGATGTACAACTTCTGGAGTTTTTGAAGCCATATTTTTTTTTTCAGTTTGGGGGGAAAAAAATCCCAAAATTAAACTTTGGGGAGATTTGAGGTAGCTTCAGTATTTTCATATTGAAACTGAATTTTAGGCACTTGGAAGAAGTAGCCCATTTATAATATAATTAGTGAATGCAGAGGTTTTTGAGATGTGGTTAAACTTCCATTCTGAAGCCTGGAAAAAAATATTTTCAATCCATTACCAGTCAGGAGGTGGATTGTGGAATTGTAATAGCTGTGTCAAAACATCTTCTTGGTACCCAGAGGAAGCAAAAGTCTGATCAAATGCTCAGAATTGTTAAGGGATAGAGAGTAAAACAAAAATGTAATTATGCCTGCTGCCTGCATCTTGAATATTGTGTGCAGTTCTGGGCCCTCACCTTCAAAAGGATATGGTGGAGCTGGGAGAGATTCAGAGGAGGACAGCAAAGTTGATCAAAGGGCTGACACGGCCTCTGTGCTGGAAAAGCTGGGTCGACTGGGAGGGAGGTGCCTGAGGGAAGCTGCAATGGAGGGCCCAGATCTTGCATGGAGAGGGGAGAGATCTCCCTGCTGGCCCTTCCAACAAAGGGATGGATCTGGCAGGTTGGGATTAAAGGAAGTTCTTCTCATTGTGTGCTTAAGAGGTGGCTTTTGGTATAGCAGAGCTGGGGTGCTGGAAAGGTACCTGGGTCACTAAGTGAACAAAACCGCAGGAGGAGACATCATTAATATCAATGGTGTCTTTGCTAGGGGGGTTGCTGAACCCCTAAAGGTTGGCAGCCTAGACTGTACTCGGAGTCATCACGTGTGCCCAGCTTCGTGCACTATTTCCCAGCCATCTGCTTTTGGAGACAGGGCAAGATGGACTTCTACTCTGACCCAGCGTGACGGTTCTTAGGTTCTTTTAATGCGGTTTTAGCCTTTCATGTGAGATGCATCCCCAGCCTTGAACTACAGTCTAAGCATTGGCTCTCTGATGGTGTGGGACAGGATTTCTTCACCTTCAGACCCAGGGGCAAGAACAGCCCTTCTCTCATAGCCACGGTGTCAGGGCATTTGCCTCCCTGCCACACTTACAGAACTTGCCTGGTAGGCAGAGTGCATGAGAAACCCGTGATTAGTGCCATCGTGTAACCAAGCTCATGCTCTCCTGTAGCCGCTGCTTCAGGCACTGGAACCGTACCATGTGGACTCCCTTCTGCTGCTCAGCGACGTGTGCCGGATGCAGGAGGATCAGGAGATGGCCCGTGAGCTCGTAGGTAAGAGCTAAAGTGGGGAGCGGATATCCTGGCATGAATCAAGGGATTTTGGTTCAGTTTTGGTTTTGTTTCAACAGAGACGCAGCAAACCAGAAGGGTTGGTTTGGCTGTGGCTGTGACTCTGGGCCATGAGCACGCGGCCTTGTGTGATCCTGCAGACCAGCAGCTTTTGCTGGAGGCTTTTAAATAAAGCCGGACGTGCTTGTCTGGGGCAAAGCACATCAGCGTTCACCTTCAAAATAAATGGACGGATTGTCGGGACGTGGAGGGGGTCTCACCTGTAGGACATCCCTTGCAGGAGGAGGGTCTGATTTAGTAGCTACCAGGTCCTGCAGTGCGAGGGCTGCTCCAAGAAGCCTATGCCCTCTGCGGGGAGCCTGCCCAGCCCTCCAGGCCAGCCTGCCTTGCTTTCCTCTGACCGGCATGTTGCAGGTCAGCACGTCGGGCTGTGCTTCTCGGGGCGGGGGCGCAGGCTGCGTTGGGGCAGGAGGCATCCTGGAGGATGGCCGCTCCTCGTACTGCCGTGCTGCAGTCTCTGGTGTCTGAGATGTGCTGTTTGGTAATCGAGGCATGTGCTCTGCAGCATGATGGGAGGGGCCAGAGGTGAGGTGAGGACAGGATCTTTGGCTTCCCTGTGTGAAGATAGTTGTGGCAGAGGCAGTTGTAGCAGCCTCAATCGCAGACCTCCTTCAGGAGAGTTACTTTTCACAACGAGCATGATCTAATGCCCTCATAAGGGGACAAGGCGCTCTTGCCTGGGTATCTGCTGCGACCACGTACTCTGAAGTAGCTTTGTGCCTTGCTAGGCTGTGAACAAGCGTATTTCACGGGTGCCAGAGCTCTCAATTATCAGTGTCCTCTGGGCTAAATCAACTGCTGTTTTGTGAGAGGTGGGGTGCTGGGGTGGTGGCGTGCCCTGACGCTGTCCTTGCTGTCTGCAGAGCAGGCGCTGTACAGCCTGGAGTGCTCCTTCCACCCCCTCTTCAGTCTCACCAGCGGGACCTGCAGGCTGGACTACCGGCGGCCAGAGAACAGGTAGGTGTCACGCTGGCCTGCCCCGCATCTGCCAGAGAGCCGTCGCGGCGTGCCCTGGCCTACTTTGGACACGGAGACCCAGATTCACAGCGTCTGCTGCGTCATCCACGGTGGCGGGGGACCTTGAATGTCCCTTTCTGTCGGAACAAGCTCTGCCACGCGCTGGTTGGTGGCAGTGCCCCTCAGCAAGGCAGCTGCGGGGTTGCTGAGATGGGTGCTGGGGTACTGGCAGCTCTTGCACCGAGGTTTCTTTGCAAAGCATCCTCTTTCCTGGGGGATAACTGCTTCCCCCTGTCATACCGTTCTCATGCAATTAGTACCCCTTAGCTCAAAATGGCACTTATTTTTGTCACAAAAATAATCGCTGTGTGTTTACAGCTGTGCTTGGTCACTTGTGTGCTGCCTGCCCGGTCTCCGTCCCCGGCACTCGCGCTGCTCCCAGCCCGACTCTTTATGTAATGACAGCGCTGCAGCTGCGGGGAAAGGTGACTTTATTCTGGGAATTTTCCAGTCAGCTGACCCAAGTCATCCCTCCCAAAGTGCTGTACCTGGAGGTTGCTCAGATTTCCAATACCCACACACTGATGGGCTTGGTGCCGTCTGTCGCCTGAACGCTGCGATCTGTATCTCGCCCAATTTGGGTGTTAGTCCTCCCCCAGTACGCGTAGTGTACGCACTGT